GACTGAATGTTCCTGGAAGCCTGTGTGTGACTCCCCCGATCCCAGCTGCTGGCAATTAGGTGCTGGTCCAATGGAGGAAGCAGGGTGCTGGACTGGATGAACTGTTGGTCTGATCCAACCGCTTTTCTGATGTTTTCTTTTCTTTTCTTTTTTTATTTGTGTAAGTTTTGCAAGTGCTCCATTTCATTTTCTATTGGCTGCTCTGATGCTTTTGGTGTATTTTATTATTATTATTAACTCTAGAAATGGTAGAGTTACAAGTTCAAGTGTGCATTGTATTGTTGATGTCGTTTGTTGGCCTCTTTAGATTCCTTGTGAGGAATGATGAGATTTCCTTCATATCTGTAATAAAGAAAAGGAAAGTATGTGGCCACCCAAATAAAGGTGTCCTGACACGAACAACAGATGTTTCTGGTCTGCGATGAGTCCAGCACGGGAGATTTAGCTGTGGGAATCACTAGCAGCATTTGTTTGCTGCAATATTTACTTCAACTCAGCATGAACCAGACTTGGAAAAGTGCAGAAATGTTACTGGGATCATAAGGGGAAAGAAGTCAATAAATATTGCCTAGGAGAAGCCCCTGGAATAATGCTGGAGGTGCCCTTTAGGAACATTGGAAACTGCCTTATGCTGGGTCAGTCTGTCTTACCCAAAAGGAAGCAAGGGCTTTCTGGATGTCAGACAGAAGTATTTCTCAGCCCTTCCTGGAGATACCAGGGATTCAACCTGGGCTGAAACGTCCTGGTATGTCTGCTGTGGCTTCTCATTGAGAGAGGCCTGCAGCCACATCGCAGGTATGCACATGCCTAGGCAACTGTAGGCCAGGACAGGATAAAATTCAAATTACCCTACAACTTTCAAAGATTCTGAAGAAATTCAGATCTGGAAATGCTTCTTATAATTGACAGGGGCATCCAAAAATTTTCCTTTCCATGGCTGCCAGCTCCAAATGTTTAAAATCATAAAACAGGCACTTGAAGATTTTGTAAGAACATAAATAAGAGAGAGAGAAAATTTGTTTTTCTTTACAGTTATGTTGTTCTCCAACACATACATATGGGCATATTTGCTCAACCTCTAGATCTCAACTGGTTTAAAGCTGAGATTGGCAAAGCCAAACCAAAAACCTTTTTTAGTAGCATAGGAAGATTCTGATTTCACTTCTGAAGATTCTGATTCCACTGGGACTTCAGGTAGCGTAGAGTGGGCAGATCATAGGTAAAATGCATGACATGTGCAGGAGCTGAACTTTGGGAAATATGTTGCACAATCACCTTTTATAACTTTATTTATTTAGTGGAATATTGTGACCACAGGAAGCATATCAGTTGAGAGCCCTGTTCTGGATGCTAACTTTTTCATCACAACTAGGGCACATGTACTGCAGATCACTTTATTTGGGCTCCATAACCTCAGTATATTTGAGACCATATTAATATCATCACAAATGATATTAACTTCCATCGCCCCTTCTAATAATTCTCTCTGGTGGCTGAATACTGATCAGCTTCCAAAAATAAGGTAGGAGCTTTTCTCTATGCCAGAGTTGCACTAGGTATGCAAAAGTCCATAAGTTTAGAAACTAAAAGAAAAGGATGTTTAAAAAACAACAGACAACTGAGTAACAAGAACCCGTGGAGCTATCAGGAATTTAAGACTAGTCTTAAGGTGGCGGCAGGATGTGGGAGGACTTCGAGGCCTCAGCAGCTGAGCAAACTTCAGGAGATACTTGAGTGAAGGAGAGCCATATAGTTAAAGGGATTGGAAGGCAGGGGAAGAGGTGTCAGATTCCTCAAGTGGCTCACAATTTACAGGAAGCACATTGCAGGAAGGACTGCTCTTTTCTATTCCTAAAGTGAAAAAGCACCGGTTCACAGCAGTAGGCTGTGTTTCACTTCGGGCAACAGCTTGCCTCAAATTAGACCTGCCTGGCTATGCCTGTCACATCACTGCAGACCTCTAGGCCTGGGGTCTTCATGTCTGCATCTCCCTCTGGGGCAGCCCAGGCAGCATCTGGGAGAGCAAACAGAAAATGAGCATCCCAGGAATAGCAGGTGTTGGGGGTGGTGGGAGACAGAGACGGCCCCAGCATCAGCACCTTGGCCAGCACAGGCCCTTTCCAGGGTCTCAGCCACTGTTACATCCTTTCTTTGGATATAAAGTGAATGTCTCGATTTTTTTTCTTTTCCACAACAACATGGTGTTTATCCCCAAATGAAATTGTTCGGTGTCAGGGGAGCAGAACAAAACTCATGTTCTGTGGTCACAATGGTGCTCTGATTCAAGTGAGCTGAGAATGCAAAATTACCTCTTCAAAGTATGCGCTCTCTCTCTCTCCTTCTTTTGGAGAATCAGGGCTGGCAGGTTTTTCTCTCTTTAACATACCATGAATACAGATTCTGCAGGGCAGCATGGAATTGCAGTGGGGCAGCAAAGAAGAGAAAAGCCTGTCCAGGCCATACTGCAAAGGAGAGCCTTGTGAGAGCATTATGTCCAGGGTCTAAAAAGATCCAGCTGCACCACTGCATGCCTGCCAGGCTCCCTCTTCCTTCTGAAATGTATGTGGGGGGTGGGGGGGGGGTAAAGATCTAGAGGCATTTTTTAACTGGCGGCTGGATGGGGAACCTTGTACATACACTTCTGCGATATTATTACAAAAAGTGATGATGAACATTGGTGGCAACCAAGCATCAGTAATTTGTGCTCATGGGGTTGTGGTTGTTTTATGACTAAACTGCACAGCTGCAGAAATTAATACTGGCTGCAGCACTCTGCATCCTTGAAAATAGGAGCTTTCTCATTTCAGAAGCAAGTTTCTAGTCCCTGAGAGTATAAAGGCAAGCAATTAAGTGCAGGCACAGCAGAAATTCTGACAGTCAGAGTCTGTACAGCTCTTTGCCCTTTCCAATGTCCAGCAGAAACATTTCTATACTGCTCATAACTGAAGCTCTCTGGACAGCCCACAACATTAAGTTACCCATCCACATTTCAACCAGGCCTGACCCTGCTTAGCTTCCAGGATTAGGTGGGATCAGGAACGTCAGGCTATAAGGAGGCTGAAGATTAAAGTCTCCCCTCGGTGCTAACCATGCTTACCAAGATGTCATCTTCGCTGAACCCAATATTTGCCAGGGAATGTTTGTTTGTTTATGTATTTTACTGTATTTTTATACTGCTCCGTATCGAAAGCAGGTTCCAGAGCTATGAACAGTACAAAGCTAAAACAAACCAAAGAATAAACACAATACGTTAAAATGAAGTCACATGAAAACCATGGCCGGTCAGCAAGAAAGGCTTCCTAGAACAAGGATGTCTTTAGTAGGTGTGGCAAACAGCTCCGTGTGGGTGCAAGCCGTGCAGCCAGAAGTAGGAGGTCCCATGGAAAGGGGGCCGTCACACTGAAGGCTCTTTTCCTGGTGTATCATTCTGTTATTTCTCTTTTGGAAATGGCAGACAAGGAGCCAGGTTCACTCCCTGCAATGCACAGAGCCCTTTCTGGGTGTCCCCATTTCTTTCTGAGCTGCCACTGTCATTCTGACAGCAGTATGGGAATGGAAGGCTTTGTCCACCTTTAAGAGATCATTTTGGCTCTTGTTACTTATCTTGAGAGCAGAACAAATGGGAAGCAGGGAATACTCTATTGAATTTTACCAGTTTGCAATAATATGAGTATACGAATGTGGTGGCATACAGTGCACCAGCAGGACCCAAAGCCAGTGCAATGGGAAGCAACTGGACATGAGTCCAAACATGCATGTCTGGACTGAGCTTCACTGACCTGCCCCATTCTGGAAACAAGCCTTTTAACTCATTTTCTAGCTACCTTCCTGTTGTGCTCTCAGTGGTCCTCACTGGCACTACATATTCAGCAGAGGTACTGGATACTACCCAGTATATTTTCATTTGATTGATTTTTTTCCAGTAATCTACCATTACCATTTCTGCTTGAGATACTCTTAGGTAGAAGAACCTGCCTGCCATGCAGACACAAGGGGATGGGGAATGTGCAACCGCTGGAGACCTTTGGATGCTAACTCACCATTGGCTCTGCTGGCTAAGGCCGATGGGAGTGCAGTCCCACAGTGCCGGCAATGCCACACATTCCCCAGCCCAGTGAAAAGGATGGTCTTTATCAGATGTTACCCCAGTGCGCACACACACACACACACACACTTTTTCTCATGAAAATGATATGCAAGAAATGTCTTTCTTGCAAAACTATGCAAGAAAGAAAAAGGAGAAAAGCCCCTTTCTTGCAGGCCCCTACATTTTCACAAAAGTAGAACTCCTATAGAATTAAGCCAAGCCACAAGGAACACCAGCTAGATCTTGGGAATATCACAACAGACAAGACTAGGAAGGAGCCGGCTGCTGTGTGAGATGATCATGTTGAAATTTCCTAGAAATATAGATGGTACAGTAAAACCTTAAATAAATAAAAAGTCATAAGGAGGTTGCCTTCTACTAGGTCAGATCATTAACCCATAACCTAATATTGTCTACATTGAATTGCAGCAGGCCTCTGGGGTATCTGGCAGAGGGTCCTAATCCTCACCTATCCTATCTGATCTTTTAACTGAAGATATCACAAATTGAACCCCAGCCCTTCTTATGCCGGGCATGTGTATGTCACACTGAGCCAAGTTCCCTCTCTTCCATTCCTCTGAGAAGTGATAGTTCACAAGTTTTCTAGCAGCCTCTTCCTGCTTCTTCTGAGGCCAGAGTCACTAAATATTTATGGATGTCCAAACAGATGCTCTACCTGTAAAAAAAAAAGAAAAAAAGGAGGGGGGACACAAAGGGACTCCAATTGAAGATGGGTGCAGGCAGGGGAAGAAAGCAGATCCAGTATTTAAGGAAGGCAATGTGCGTGTCTTCTCTTCTGACAGCAGAATTTGGTTATGTCATGCAGAATTTGGATATAAATTTTTCATGAACTGAATCAGCAAGTGCAATACTGCACATGTGCTTCTAGTAACAGTTTATCCTTTCCCCCTAGGAACTGCCACATGAAAAATGACCCAGCCAATGCAGAGCTTACAGCTTTCCCAAACAAAAAAGAACAACCCTCCTTCTTCACCCAATGCTGCCAAGCGACTCTATCGGAACCTGTCGGAGAAGCTGAAAGGAAGTCACTCATCCTTTGATGAGGCGTATTTCAGAGCCAGATCAGACCGCCTCAGTCTGCGGAAGTCTTCAGTGGTAATGTCTCCATGTTTAATCAATTACTGTATTCATAGAGCAGATTAACCCTGCATCTCTCCAGGATTTGTGCAAGTAACTCTCGCACACCTATCGCCAACCAATACAATAATCCTCCAGTGCATGTTCCCCTTAACCTAGCTCTTTTGAGTCTCCATTCTTTTTACAAAAATGTTGGCACGTATTACCAGGAGCTCAGAGCATATGCATGTGTGTGTGTATTTGGGGAACTGCTTGGGTTGTAGGAAAGTGATCCTTTGTCCAAGGCTATGCAAATATACAGATGGATTATGCAGGGCTTTCTCTGTTGTCTTAAAAAAAGAATGCTGTTGGAATGCTTAAGCCAATCTTTTAACTCCAGTTGCACTGGTAGGAGAGATTTGCCATTGATGGAACACCTGCTGTGTCATAGTCAAGTTCGGTGAGGGTGGGAAAGGGAGGGAAAAAGCACAGCTTGGAGAATCCTCAAACGGCACGAAAATGGCAAATCACAATTGTTCTGCCCGGTCCAGTACTGCTCCCCAAGCATCTGTGAAACTCCACCCAAAGCCCACCCATCAGTGGTGGTACTGGCAATGGGTGCACATGCTCCTTATGCATGGACGGATGGAACCAATTAATTTATAGAAATGAGGGCTCACCCTAGCACAGATTCCACATCTCATCATGCAAAATGATGCCACGGTTGGGATGTATGAATTTTGCTACATTGGTTTTGCCTGCGTTTTGAGGATTTTCAGGCATCTTTTGCCCTGATGTCTGCTTGCTGTTGGTACATAATTCTGTATGAGAATGGTACTCCTGTAAAACCTACCCCTTAAGTCTGCAGAATCCATGCAACTTAGAGAAAGTTGAGCCATCAAAATCTGAACCTGTTTAACTCTGTTGAGAAATTCTCTGACATCCCTGTGCTACAATTTAGCTCTGGTTATGGATGGTTCAGACTGTTTCTTTGCAGTGAGAGAGGTAATAAGAATTTAGCAAAGTTCATCTGTTACTCCATTGGTGGAGAATGGAATGGAACAAGCTTGAAATTGTTGTTTCAAAAAACTTTGTGAAACCAAAACTAATACATCCATTCCCAAGACTTTGTGTGCTTAGCTCTGAGTTTGAATCACTTTCTATTCATCCATGTTCATAATGCTGATTTAGGGTGCTGCTTCATTTTTTCTGACAGATTCCTCATCTGCATCTGCTGGTTCAGATACATGTTTCAATTCATGGTGTTAAGAATTTCTCCAAGGTATTCTGGGGCTATTAGTGCTATTTCTCGCCTGCATACCACCATGCCCTATTCCCACTTTCGGCCCTCAGTTGTTCAGGCCAATGCCAAACAAAGCTTGGAACACTGGATGGTTCAATGCTGACCACAGTTTCCAACACACTTGTGAAGTTTTTGAGGGCCTCAGCAGCCCAGGAAGGGCCACCCGTACTGACACAGGAAGTGGAGACTGGGCCCTTTTGGTTATACGTAGAGACAGGTTTGTCATGCAATGACAAGATGTGTCTTTCTCCTACAATACCCAAACTATGTTAATCTAAAGCCCATAGAATTAACCAGTATCACCTGAAAGAGCCAAATCTGTGAAAGGAAATCCATTCTTTATCATTTGGGTCAAAGCCAGTAAGAGTGTCAGATTTAGAGAGTTCAGTCACAGTAAGTTAGACAGGCACAACCGGCTAGTCAAAGACAGATGATGCCCTGTATACAAAATAATTAAATTCAGGACCATGGATAGCTCACAGCAAACTTTTGTTGGTGCTTCTCCTACTAGTAACATAGGATGATATTGTCTCAGCAGGCAGCTAAAGCTAAAGTCAGTCCTAGAGGAGATCAACCCAGACTGCTCTTTAGAAGGCCAGATACTGAAGATGAAATTCAAATACTTTGGCCACCTAATGGGAAGGAAGGACTCTCTGGAGAAGAGCCTAATGCTGGGAACAATAGATGGCAAAAGAAGAAGGGACGGCAGAGAATGAGGTGGTTAGTCGGAGTCACTGAAGCAGTCAGCGTGAGCTTCAGTGAACTCTGAGGGATGGTGGAGGACAGGAAGGCCTGAAGGAATGTTGTCCATGGGGTCGTGATGGGTCAGACACGACTTCGCGACTAACAACAACAACATTAGGTGTCAGGCAAGTTTCCAGTGTCACCTACCACTGTTGTGCAAATGCATAATGCATGGGTGGGCAACTTCAGACATGCTGAGATCCAGTCCCCTGAGTGCCATGGGCTGGACTCCCACTAATATCACTGTGCCACTGAATCTGGGAGACAGGGAGGGCAAAGTCGGGATTAAATAACAGTCTGCTGCCAAAATTCATCTGCACATGGCTTGAAGTGACCGCATTTGGCTTGAATACACGTCTGCTGAAAGCCTCTGTGGCAGTTTACTTCCAAATGTCAGTAGCAAACCACACGTTCCTTTTTTCCCATTTTTAAAAGCATAGTGCAAGGAAGCAAAGGAGGTGGGCAGCAAGAGTCACATGCAGTATGCCACATGTTGCCCATCCCTACCATAATCCCATTTTTTAAATATCTCTCTCTCTCTCTCTCTCTCTCTCTCTCTCTCTCTCTCTCTCTCTCTCTCCAGTCATTTGTCTCCATCTGTGGGCCATTTTTAGTGAAAGTCCTGAATAGCCCAGTTGTGTATAACCTATGAAATGTTTTCCTCAACCTATTAAGAGCATTTGGGTTACCTCCTCTTTCATAGATACCATTTAAGAATACATTGCCTTGGCTTGATGCACACAAACTATAGCTAAGGTGATAAGGCCTTCCTGGACTGTATCATTTGGGACTGCAGAGGTGGGATTCTCATGAGCAGAACTAGTGAAAGATGGAGAAGGTGAGATCAGAATTCTCTGTGACACCCAGATTTCTAGGTCAGGGTGTGTGTGTGAGCAGGGCAGAAGGATGGGGATGTGTGCCTGGTTGCACCTCACAGGGCAGCATTTTGGTGGAATGCCAGGAGCATCACACATTTTGATGCAATAAAATACAGCAGAAAGGTTGGTCTTGGAGAGACTATAGAGAGGGAGGGAAGATCAGAAGCAGAGAAGAGAAATCCCAAGGAGGACAGAGAAGAGCAAGAGCAAGCGTGTCATTCTGCCCTCCCACAGACACCCCTCAGCAGCTGCTTCACCATCCCTTTTCAGCAACTGAGGACTAAAGTCACGGTTGAGACCTGCACTGCTCTGCACAGCCAGAGTCAACTGCTAAAAGATCACCCCCATGTGTGGCTCATCGAATGTTTGGCCCCCCTTCCTCCTTATTTTACTGCTTAAAGATTTCAGTTGGAAGTCTTTATTCAGTGGAAGGCTGGCTGTTGCTTGCTCTCCCTTGTTCAGAAATCCTGGCTCGCTCTATTTATACATCTCCCACTAAGTTGCTCACTGGGCTCCTCCCACACACTCTCAGGGAACAGTGAGCCTGGTGGGCTGGAGGCAGTGTGAGCTAGTTTGGGGCCAGTCCGCTTAGTCCTCACCCATCCTACTGCTGTACAAAAACAGATCCTGTGGCTCCTACCACCACCCAGGGCTGCTGGAAAGTAGCGTTACAAATGGAGGAAGAGAAAAGAGTTGACTGTCCCCTGAGTGCAGTTGGACCACCTGTGAATTAGGGTTTTGTCTGCCTCTTTCTGAGACCTCAGCCCACCCCCATAGATGTTGTCAGTCTAGTTCTTGTAAAAGCTAATACCATAGAGATGCTCATCCCCCAGAAGGTATCTAATGAAGGTTCCTTCTCCATGCTGTTATTTCCGAGGATCTGTTTTGGAAGCACTGAGGAAAAGGGGGTATCCATGGAATAATGCCAATAATCTTTAAGAATTGACTCTATGATATAGTTGTAATCACAAAATACAAACTACCCATTTCATTTTCTTTAATCCAGAAAACCCCATTAGAAGCAGGTAATGGTTTTTGGTCACTTTTCACCTAATGTAGGTAGAATTCAAACCAACAATGCCCTGCTGCGCCTTTGTTTTAGTCCTCCTTTATCAACCCCAGTTCCAAAGGGTAGGGGACTTTCTTCATTTAATGATGGTGTCATTTACAGTCCAGATTATTTCCAATATTTACAGTTTCATTGAGAAGGCAAAGCTTTCCATTTTGAACTGATTTTAATACCTTAAAAAAACCACACACACAAATTATGATTTGCACAAATGTCACGTCCGATTTTTTTTAATGCACAAATTGCTTCTGAACTCCCCCCACCCCACCCCCAAAATCAGTGTTATCTGCTGACACTTGCCAGAAAAGAAACATTGCAGAATTCAGCTGGGCTTAAACAAAATGTAATTCCTAGTATTGCCCATCCTACCTATAGTGCATTTGTGTGTGTGAAAAACTAACAGTCTGCCTCATAATGTGCTTGTATGCTTGGGGAAATGATGGACTGCCTTATAATGCATGTGTGTGCGTGGAAAAGTAATCTGCTAGCTTATAATGTACTTGCACAGTGTTATCCCTTGAAAACTTCTGTGTCAGCTGGCTGGCTGCCCAGCCTATAGAACTTTAGAAGTTCCCCTTCACAGTATTGGCCCCACCTTGGCTCCCTTTGGCTCCATCTCTGTTGGTCCGTTTTCTGCCTCACCAGTTTGATTTGCCACCAACCAACACAGGTTAAAGGTTGTCCACCCCTTTTATAGAAAGCCCCCATGGCTACAACCTGGCTTAATGCATGAAACTCCCCAGATAGTGCCAGACCTGCTTCATGTGGTGTTCAAGAGGTGGACTCCAGGTCTGTTTTGGAAAGCCATTCTACTCCCATTAAGAAATCCTGGGTTCAGAGCCATATCCTGGCTTAGTCCAGAACTCTTCATTCCTGCTTGCTACACAAATGGAAGCACATCCCTGAATTCTGTATGAAATAAGGCACTTACTAAAGGTCTATCAATATGAATGTGTGTCTGTTTTATCCAGGTAAGATGGTGCCAGGGGAAGGTAGTGCATCTCAGTACTCTGAGCTATTGTTCAGGTTCTCAGGATGAATTGTA